AACAAAACAAAATAACCGTGTTTTAAGTAAATCAGCAAATTTGGTAAATTTAGCAGCTGATTTGGCTCTCACGGAATTGGCCCAGCATCCAGGAATAGGGAAGTCCGTTATCCTTTTGGGATACTTCTTCCCCACCAAAGGACTGTTGGAAATATACGGCCCACCATGGTTAGTGGTTTCTAATTTATCCCTAAATCTAGAGTCCAGGAGGGAACCATGAAAGACCTGCCAAGGAGTTTAGGGAGGCCGAGTTTCTGTATCTTTAGCGCTGCCAGCTGCCTCCTCCAAGCAAGAGGACTGCTGTGCCTGCTCCACTCTTGTAAGCTTATTGCCTCCTCGGCCTGTGGTCCTTGGAATGTCTACCAAGAGAAACACAGCCGTGTAGGGCCCTCTAATTATCACTGCGTTCTACAGTCAGGCACATGCGTGGTGGAGACCACAGCTCTCCGGGAAGGCTCAGGGCAAAGTGGCTCCGACTCCAGCACCAGCGGCCACCTGTTTGCATCTTGCATTGCGAGTCTGTGATATCGTCTCCTCCACGTGGCCACTACCCCGCACATCTCCACATGGAAGCAGACCCTTTGAAGCTGTTCTTCCACATGGCTTTGCACCCTAGATATTTCTGAACTGTTTATTTTCCTTTGCTTCAAACAGCAGCTTGTCGGTCTGCAGTGGCCTTGCTGACCTGGGTTTGCACTGCGTCTCTCCCTTCTTGCTACTGAGGGATTCATCTTCATCTGACAGGTGTACCGTTTGGAAGCTAATCTTCTGGATTGACTAAAGAGACCCCTCTCCTCATCCCCACTCCATCACATGGTTCTGAATCCACCGGCCCTCCCGCTGAGCACGCCTCACAGCCGCTCTGAGGAATGACAGCAAGATGCTGATAGGAATGGGAAATACACTCCTCTGAATTCACCTTCTCCTCCAAACAGGGCAGAAGACATTTGCTGCTTTTCTTGAAACTGAATGATCCAAAAAAAACTGGATAAGAGTATGAGGGCAGAGCCAACTTTTGGAGTAGGATATACACTAAATTTAAATTAAAAACCTAGAATAAGGAATAAAAAAACACGCGTCGCTGTAGCATGCTGAGATACTAGTCTCTTATTAGCTGTCAAAAGTGACACGGCTGTATTTTTCATAGGCAAAGGTGGATATTGAACCCAAAATGTCACGGCCTGAAGAGTGAGGCTATTCCGATGGAAAGCGTGGATTTTTGTTCTGGACAGGGTAAGTTTTCCTCTGAAAAGCAGTTAGCATCACTGAGTCATTGAGTGTCTGCAGGATCGGTGGGTTCAGCCCTTCTCCAAGACCCAGGGACAAGAGGTGGCCTCCCCAAAGAAGCGAGGGCAGGAAAGTGCTACAGCTCACGTGAGGCGATCGATGCACAGAAAGCTGTGGAATCATCACGAAGCTCATACCTCCCTAAAATCATCCACTGAAATAAACACAAGGGGTACTGACTGCCCTTGAGTGTTTCAATGACCTCCGCCACGCTAATTTCCTGACATTAGGAAGTTTTAAAATTTGAAAAGCGAAAATAGAATCGAAAGTAAAAGGCCTCTTAAAAGCTTTAAAAATAGGATAAACTGAGAATGAATGAGGAAACTGTCACTCACCAAAGGTACTTTCCTGACCCTTGTCTCCTAGTTAAGAATTAGTTGATTTATATGTTTATTATGTTTATTAACCTGCTGTTGTGCCTCTTCTCCATGTCGGGCAGGATGCCAGCCCCGGGGATAAAAGGTGATGCGGACCCTGCTTTGTGAGGTTCAGAGCCTGAGAGCAGCAACACACGTACACGAACGAATAGAAGTGACATAAAAAGGCATGTGCACATTATAATGACAGTTTAATGCTCAATTTAGAAAAATCTCCCTTTACATTTTGTCTGTGTGTCTTTATATTGCCCAGGCTGGTCTCAAACTCCTGGCCCCCAGCAATTCTCCTGGCTCAGCCTCCCGAAGTGCTGGGGTTGCAGGTGTGAGCCACCGCACCCGCCCTCTACGTGTCTCCTACCGACACTTCCTCTGGCGAAGATGCTGGATCGGTTGATTGAATCATTATAAGGACAATGTATGTAAGATATTTCCTCAGCTGCAAACCCAAACACCATGGTTTTTAACGTTGAAGAAACCACCGTTTCAGGCACAGCAGCAAGTGCTCAGGGCTGGAGGCCTAAGCACTGGGATTTGTTCCTGCCCCTCTGGGAATAGCACAGTTCAGAGGACAGGGCCCTGGAGAAGAAGCCCAGAAGGCTTGGCTCTAGCAGGTTCTATGACTAGGTATTTGGACAAGTCACTTGTCCTGTTGGAGTCATTTCCTTTTCTGAAAAATTATGGCTTTTGACTAATTCTTCTCCAAGTTCTTTTCCAACAAAAGATTCTGAGTCTCTATGTCTAAGGTGAACATTTACCCTGAGATACTTCAAGGTACAGATGGTTTTTAGATCAAGGATTAGAATAATTAATAAATGTCTACCTGGGAAATATAAGTATTTTCACAGATTGTAAGTAATTGTTATTTCAAAATAAACTTGTTGCAGAATCATTTTTTTAGAAGGTACAAATCATTGCCTATGACCTGAAAGAGAGTGTATCTTTAAACCCATCAGATTCAACTCCAGCCATGGGCAGATGTTTAAATACAGTGGAGGAAGAGAGAGAGGTAAGTGTGGGTGGCAGAGCCAGCACCAGCCCAGCGCTCCTAGCTTTGGATGCAGACGACATCCAAGTCACAGAGCCGGGCAGCAGAATCCACTCAACTCTGGACTTCCAGTCATGTAACAGTCTCTAAGTGCTGAGGTTTGTTCCTGGAATAGAAACCTTCTCTGTTCTGCCTAAACATTCTTTTAAACAGTTTCAAAGTTGTTCAGTGTTTTGCTAATATCTTAGGGAACTATGGAAAAACTTACACACCCTAGAGAGAAATAATGCCAGCATGCAGCAGGGCCACCCGGGGAACCGGCCGACTCAAGCAGAAATTCAGAAATTCTCTGGCAGTGAGGCAGCACTGGATGAGGTCTCCGACGCATCCCACGTCCCACAAGGGACAGGCTGGTGGGAGGGGCTGTGTTGGCAGTGACAGGGGCAGCTGAGGACACGAGGTCACGACTCAGCGATGTCAGAGTCTGTGATGGGCTATTTGTCTCTGTTGCCCCCGTGACAATCTAGTCAGGTGTTGGATCAGTGCATCAAATATTAAGCTATACACTTTCAAAAATATTAAGGTATAGACTTTCACAATTGTGCGCAGGGCTTGATTTGAAAGGACCACTGATGAGCTCATCAAGCCCAGTGGTTCTTGTGCGGATGGTAAGAAAGACCACCGTTCCTATGCTCCTGTTATCAGCACAACCCAATACTGTGGCCATAGGTCCTCTTTGTTAGTTATCTACGATGACAACTGCACACAGCCAGACCTTTCTGCAGCACAGCTATGTTGTGTATGTCAATGCAGTGTTCTACAGGACTTGAAGGAAATGTGTTGCCACAACAAACAGGGACGAAAGAACTGAGTTCAAAAGACCCTTATTTCTTTTTATCCTCTTCTTATCTCTATCTTTTTGACCCAAAGGGCACAGTCTACAACATATGATTGTTTATAAATGTTATGGTTTTTGCTACTGTTGATAAATGATCCAAACCAGTGGTCCCCAACTATTTTGGCACCAGGGACAGGGTTCATGGAAGACAAGTATTCCATGGACCGGGGATGTAGGAGATGGTTTGGAGATGATTCAAGCGCATTACATTTATTGTGCAGTCGAACCTCTCTGCTAATGATGATCTGTATTTGCAGCCACTCCCCAGTGCTAGCATCACCGACTCAGCTCCACCTCAGATCATCAGGCACTAGATTCTCATAAGGAGCACACAACCCAGATCCCTTGTATGTGTGGTTTACCATAGGGTCTGTGCTCCTGTGAGAATCTAATGCTGCTGATCTGACAGGAGGCGGAGCTTATGCACTGATGCAAGCGATGGGGAACGGCTGTAAATACAGATGAAGCTTTGCTTGCTCACCTGCTGCTCACCACCTGCTGTGCAGCCCAGTTCCGGTCTGTGGCCCGGGGGTTGGGGCCTGCAGTTCTCGACAACCTTAGGTTATATACCATAGCCTCTGGATTATAAAGCATGTACATATTTCCTCCATGATTTTTATTTGTTTGTTTGTTTGAGACAGGGTCTCTGTTGCCCAGGCTTGGGTACAGTGGTGTCACCACAGTTCACTGCAAGCTCAAACTCCTGGGCTCAAGAGATCCTCCTGCCTCAGCCTCTGGAGTAGCTGGGACTACAGGTATGTGTTACCACACCTGGCTAATTTTCGTATTTTTTGTAGAGATGGGGTCTCCTGATGTTGCCCATGCTGGTGTCAAGTGAGCCTCCCACTTCGGCCTCCCAAAGTGTTGGGATTACAGGTACGAGCCACTGCACCTGGCCTCGTCCGTGTTTTTTGTTTATTTAAGGTTGTGCACAGAAACACCAACAGGTCCTGCTGATGGTGCGGTGTCATCAGAGATGTCCAGATGGATGGGGCCTGGGATCCAGCAGGGGCTCAATAAGTAAGTGCTGAATGATGGACTCGTCGGCTACGTCAGCAGAAATGTAACTGCAAGGGAGTTTTACCCAGGAAGTGGAAATAACGCTGATTACATTTAGAAATGGGACAGGGATGGTTCTAAAGTTGGCTCTGAATATTTAAAAAAATGAGCTGGAAATTTTTCAGCAAGGCCAGAGAATTATTCAAATTAAAGGCAAAGCCAGCCTTTCTCCAGCAGATAAGTCCTGACAAATGCCAGAAGCAGATCCTTTACTCCTGGATCCAACGGCCCCCTTCAGTCATTGGTCACGTCGGGAGAGGAACATGTATGGAAGAGGTTGCTAATCAATCCAGCATATAGCACATGGTGGAATGCAAAATTTCTCCCTTTAAAATGGTAATATCCCCCTTTATAAAAACCCAAGCAGGGACAGACAGACAGACGCTGTCCTTACCGTCAGGGATAAGGCCATGCAGACGAAGGTGAACTTCTTGATGTGGGCTGCTGTGACCGTGTTGCTCGTGCTCACCAGTTTATTGCTGGGGTTATTCTGGGGAAAGAAAATGACAGTCATGACTGGGCTCCGGCTTACCCTTGGCTAAGGCCCCGCGAATCTTATAGAGCATCCCGTTTTTGTTTTATTTGATGCATCTGCAGTATAAGTTTCAAGTGATAGCTTGCGAGGCAGCTGCCACGTTGAGTCCCTGACAGCTGTCAGGTTCCTGTACGTGAACATTGGCCAAAGCGAATCCTGGACTCAACGCCCAGCAGTGTTGCCTGACACAGTCCCCGCCTCGCCCAGTCCAGGCCTTGGCTCTGAAGTCTGCTCTCTGCCCCAGCAGAGCCTGTGCCACGCCACGGGCATCTCCCTAAACGCCACAGCCCTGCTCAGCGACCTCGGGGCCCCTCTCCTCCCCACCAAATGGACATAAATTCCACTAGGCATTCAAGGCCCTGCCCAGTCTGACCCAGCCTCACTTTCCGGCCATTACTTCTCTACCTATATCCCAAATGGAGCCTCCTGCCCTTCCGCTAACACCTGTGCTTTTGTTCCCCCTTCTCCTGTTGGATCTTCTGATTTTCAGAAACACCTCTCTCTTTGAGGCCCATCATCCTCACAGCCCATCTGTTCCCTAAAGCCTCTCCGACTTTTGCCCTCCAGGCTGACTCTGGGTCCCACCTCCTATAACCCCTGATGACCCTGGAGCTCTCTTAGGGCAGGCATCATGCCCTGCCATGTGTTCAAGGCCCGATGAGGTTGTGTGCACTCTCAGCTAGAGCCCTGTGTGTCTCGCCCATCACTTTAGCCCTGAAGCACTGAGCACAATCTTTGGGTAGAGAAGGTGCTCCAAGAGCACTTGCTACACTGAATTTTAAGCAAATCTGCAGGTGGCTCAGATGTCTTCCTGCACAGCAGCAACCTGAGGCTAGCCAAGGCTCTTCCCGCTAGGTGTGCTCCTCGCCCCATCAAAATGAGCACCTGGCCCCTTGCTGCGAAACCCAGCAGAGAAAAATAACCCCTGCCTCATTATGGACCCAGTTAGGCCCAAAGCCCACTCACAAAAGCAAACCCAGACACCTGGCTCCGCATCCGGCCTAATAAAAGACTGACCCGCACAGCTATTGCAGGATCCACCTGGAAAGAGCTTTTGATTTTCCTTTACCTCTCCAATCCCTTCCCCTGCAGCAGCTATGAGCCCAGCCTCTGAATGTCTGCACATTTTCTTAAGTCTAGCCTCTCAATATGTATCTGCTGTTTTCAATAACAGACTGCTGCCGTTGCAAAATACAAACCCCAGCGTTGGAGATCTCCATCTCCACTCAGCCGGGGGTCGGCCAGAGGGTCCCCTGGTGGGTCTGGTGAGGAAGAGGCCCACGTTGGAAAGAATTAGGGAACCTCACCAGAACACACACAGCCACAGTGACGGCAACAGCTCCTTCGGCGGCACTGCTATGTGTAAAACAGCAAATATTTCCACAAAGACGGTTAAAATAAACTAGTGTGTTTCATTAGATTGGCGCTGGTGTTTCATTTCGTTTGCCCACTCTGCCCAGAAACATACTCTTTCGCAGATAACTGACCAGGAAAGAGAATCTGCACTAGTGGAAACCTCTCTCAGTTCAGGTTTAGCCAGAATTTCCTGAAGGCATGTGAGAAATTTTAAATCCTCAAAGAGGCAAAGGATTTCAATTGTCAATGAAGCACGTTCTGAAGTCCACACAAAGGTGTCTAAGATTTGAGTGAACAGCGGCATTCACACAAACGGCTTGGTGTAGCTCGCTGGGGTGCCTGGAAGCAATGGGTGAGGTTTTAAAAGGAGTCTGAGTAACCTGAATTTCTGGCTAGAGGCACGCTTGTTAAAGGCATTTTTTCAAAGCTTCTAACCTCTGTGATCATGAATAAAACAAAGTATTTCTTGGATGCTCCTACTGAAACCATACTGTTTCAGTATGTGCTGTATTGTTAAGTTTTATTATTTCGAGGTGGCCAAAAACAATTTCAGATGAGACTTTGGCAGCCAGGAGGTTCTAACGCTTCAGCACCTGTCCTTCCCATCAAGTTTCATTCGATAATCGTCTTATGCTCCAGGAGCTAGAATTGAAATTTACCAAGAAGGCTTATGTCCATGTTGGTTTTCTAGGATTTACTTCCATACGTGTGTTCCTTGAAATGAAAACAATGCTGTCTATCTATAGACTGAATTAAACCCACTCAAACACAGAGTGTCAGCTCTCTCCAGCGAGTGACTCACGCCTTCTGAAGTCCACTCTCAAAGGCCTGGGAAGCAGGAATCAAAAGCATTTTTTAGGGTACGCTCTGCATCCTGATGTTGCCACTAAGTATTTCCAGTAGGTGGTGGGTCCTAACTATGTTCTACTGAGGGAGCTCCGCACCCAGTAAAGGGTTCTGGGCCTATCTCCCACTGGGTTACGTGGTGGGGTTCCTAACGCATTCTTCATGGGGGAGCACAGGTACGGAACAGAAGAGGAAGGTGACGGTGGCCTGGGGATCTGGGTCGTATGGAAGACTCCGTGATGGGGAAGTGAGAGCAGGTGTGTGTGTGTTTGTAAGCGCATGCGCTAACAGGGAAACTCCGCAGGAGACCACGGAAGCAGAGGAGGCGCTGGACGGAGAGTAGGTGATCTCTCTCCACACTTGATCCTCCTCCTCCATCTCAGCCGTCAGAGGTGCTCGGGGGGATGCCCTCGGGTCAGGGTGCAAGGTGGGGCTGGGGGAGTCAGAAACCTCTCCTGGGCCCCCACACCACAGGTCTTGCCCGCTCCCCGGAGCCCGCACACAGTTTAAAGCAGAGCAAGAGGTCTCCTCTCCTCCCTCCACAGGGTGCTTTGTGGGGTAGGACAGAAAGACGTAAGCACTGGCTCTGAGCTAGTTCTATGGGAATTCAAGGCAAAACGGTTGCTATGAAGGGTACAAGTGGCAGGTTGTTTGCTTCTTTCCTATTTTTCATTTAAAAACGTTACATACTAGTGTTGGGTACGTTTCGCGGCCATTTGTTTCAGAGGACAAGCCTGTAGGGTTAAGTAATAAAGCTATAATGAAATAGACATTTACTGGATGACAGGCCAGGCCAGGCCACAGGTCAGGAGGCTGACGTGCCTCCCGCGGCTGCAGAGGACAGAGCAGCTGTCAACAGACAGTTGCTTATTCTTCTGCCAGAATAAGTCTGTCGTATCAAAACCATGCAGGACCCCAAGCCTGCAGTAGGGACAGCGTGAGCGAGCGTGCAGACCAGCACGGCGGCAGAGACCCGTATGCCGTGAGCTCAGGCACGCAGATTACTGTCTGTTCCTGAGCCAGCTGGTATGTGGTCAGTAAAGTGTTAGTTTAACTAAAGAAACAACCCACAGAAACAAAATCCAATATATAACATATTTTTGAGAGTTTATTTTTCCTGTTGCAAACAAATAATTTCTCATTAGGAATAACCCTAAAAGTGACGCCAGGAACATGGGTGTGGAAAAGCATCATGAGATCAGCGTCAAGGTAAGCTTAAATGTGCCCTCGTTATGTTCTGAAGGAAAACATTCCACAGTTACCTTCAACACCCCCAACATCACACGAACCTCGTAAAGGGAGGTAAGATTGAGAAACAACGAAGTGTCCGTCATCAGAGAGCCCTGTCTATCAAATGTCACTTTAACAAGTGTGCTTCAGACACTGCCCCACACAGGTTCTCACCTTGTCAAAAGCAGGATAGACAGCGCGGATTTCCGTCAACCAGCCATATGGCATGTGACCCACGGGGTACGTGGCTGTCAAAATTGCCACTGCCTACAACAGAAGAGTCAGCAGAGTTAGCGTGGGCATCAGCAGAACGTCCCCCCAGAGCTGCTGTGTGTTACGTGACAAAGTGGGCGGTCTCAGATCCCTCCACCTGGGTGACAAGCATCGGCCAGCCAAGGGACGGCCTGAGTGGGTGGAGGGTCAGGACTGACCACTGGCTGTGCTCTTACGTACTGCACTGTGTCCCTGGGAAGGGGGCGAGTGAGCTAACCGAGTGGACGTGAGACAAGGACAGTGTGCATGTTTTGTTTTACACGAATCCAACAAGAAACAGGTTCAGATCCCAGGTTTGGGAAGCCAAGATTTCAACCCAGGTCCATGAGATTCCAGAATCTTTGCTCTTTGCTCAGATTCAGAGCCCATCAGAGCCCTCTGGCTTAGCCCTCTTCTTGATGCTCCAGATGGAGCTGTGGCCCTCCCTGCTCTCCGGTGAGTCTCTGCTCCACCTCTAAGCACCCTCTCTATCCTTTGGGGTGGCTGGCATCGCATCTGTTTGACTCCGCTTCCAACGCAGCTCACCCCCCGTCTGCCCCGTCGGTATGGCCCAACTTAGATTTTTAACTTAAGAAAATGCAGTAAATATTTCATACAGGAAGATATCCGGGGGTTTCTGTGAGAATGAGAGCTGCTGCTTTTATGTGAATGAAAAGGAAGAAAAATGAAAATGAGGCATCTGAACCCACATTCTGGCAGCATCCAACTCTAACTAGCTGGTAGAGGTACAGCACGGGCTTCATCTATTTTAATTAACAGAACGGCGATGCACAGGGGTGCCAGGAACACGAGGCAAGTTCCCAGCTGTGGTGTGGTGTGGCGTGGCACGGTTTGGCGGAACAAAAAAAGAGCACTGAAATCAGGCAGACCTGGATCCAAACCTTCACCTCGTGGCTTCCCAGCTGTGGGAAGCAGGAAGCCTCTTGGGGTCTCCCTTCCTGCTCCTCCAGTGGGACAGGAATAATAATCCCATCTCAGGGGGTTGTTGGGAGTCAAGGAAACGTACATAAATGCCTGACACATAGTAGATGATCAATAAATGTCAGCTCTGTACCCCATAGGCTGTGCCCATGTGCCACTGAGGGCAGTTCTCGAATGGCTCCAACCCATAGTTTGTCGTGTTCTTTTTAAAGGGGAAGATGGAATTCTAGCACCCAGGTGATGTGGGTCCCCTCCTTTTTACTGAGAAACCTGAACCGAAGTGTTGAAGCACAAAAGTTGCTATGGTAGCCACCCAAGATGACATTGATGATTCAAAAAACAAAGTCCAGGAACACACTGAGGCAAGGAGAAAGCATTCCGCTTCTGATTTATGGGCTTCTCTTTCCAGGCCAACATGAGCAGCTTCCCAGGACATGGAAACTGGCAGGCCGCTCCAGGCTGGGGACCTGCTGACAGCGCAACTAGGGCTCCGGGCTGCTCCCTGCAAAAGCAACGCCTGAACAGGAGCCCTAATGAGCAGCCATGAGCCTTCCCTAGGATCGGCGGTTCCAGAGACAGGATTAGTTCTCCAGAGGGCAGTGGAAGAGGCGACAAATGAAGTAATTCTGTTTGTTCAAACCCAACTTGAGAGGGAAAAAATGAGTCAACTCTTTCTTTGGAGCAGCTGCCAGTTTCCAGACACAGTTCTCGAGTTGTGAGCAAGTCAGTCGAGGAGATCCAAGCGGGGAGGGTGGACCGGGAGCAGGGAAGTCACCATGGGTGGGGCGGCTCGAGCGGGAGGGCACAGGGCAGGTGAGGGTGGGCTAGGTCAAGTCGGAGGACGTGGCCCCCCGCACCTCTGGGTGCTTCCAGCTCTGCACGTGGCACGTTCCATCGTCCTCTGCAGCTACAGTGAAGAGCCACGTGCTGACGCCACGAGGAAACGGAAAACTGAGTGGGAGTCAGAGGCCGGGACGCTGACACTCGCCAGCTTCCAGCTAGTTCTGTGTTTCTGTGCCTCGGTTCCCCATATGGTAAACGACAAGGATCAATTAGACATTTTCTTCCATAATCATAAAAATATAAAATTACATCATTATAAGTTGCTGAATGAGATCTTCGTGGCTTCCTAGCGTGACTGTGTCATGTAACTGAATCTCACGGCACAACCTGAGCTCTCAAGATGACCTGGAAATAAATTTTACCCCCCTCCACCCTGCAAGGTGATTACAGGCGCCCGCATCCCCCAAAAGTGCTCTACCTCTGTAGCCGCAGAACTGCCACCGAGGTCCCGGGAGACAAAGAGGTTGACGATAGGCCTACTGATTCTCTGCGTAGCCAAAATTAAAGCCAAAGGCCACCAGAAACTCAGCATCTTTCTTATGGTTGCATCTCCCTGCATTAAGAAATGGAAAAACAAGTTTACTAAACTCTAGAGGTAGAATAGAAAAAAATGAGAATCAAAGCTTTTCCTTTTTATGCCAAACAAGAGCCAATTCACTACACTTAAAAGTAATATAAGGAAAATTCTCTGTAGATGAGCCAAGTCGAATTAAAATAAAATGTTCCATCTTATTAGAAATTAACTCAGACAGTTGGCAAGCGACTGTGAAATCAAAACACCCATCGAAGCTTAATAGATCCCAACCACTATTTTCCCTACAGGGAACCTCTAACCAAGGTAGAACTCAACCCCATGGCCTGAGAAACAGGTTTGAAATTAGTCTGTTTATGTCATCAAACTGACTGGCTAGAAGTCATGTAATAAGAAGTAACTCTTAGAAATAAAAAATTATTATGATTTATTTGGGAATCAGTCAGCTCATAGAAACGTGCCTAATTATTTCGGCATTGTATAAATCTACTACAGAAGTTCTTACTCTCAAAGCTCTCATAGATGTCAAATAAACTGCTCAGAAGCACAAGCAAAACAAAAGTGTGGTAAAGAACAAATGAGTTTTTAAGTCTTCTGCAGCAACGGTGTGTGACATCTTTAAAGCCTGGCGTTCCTTCTGTAGTTTTGGTTTTGATTCTTCGCGAGGGTAAGAATTACATCATGGAACCACCTTGGCCACGTTAATGTATTCCACTCTGCTGGTGGCTGAATGTTAAGAGATGGAGTGTTACAGTCAAGACCAATTTGTGGTTGACCGAGTGATGGAAATAACTAGATAGGATTTCACTGATGGCCAGACCTCGGACAGAGGTAAGCGGTCAACACAATTACTGTTTTGGCGTGACAAAAGTAACGTGTGGTCCAAGTGGTAATGGCGGTGGTGTGGTGAGTTTTTCAGGGCTACGTATGATCATTCGTATCTGCCTTATAGCTAGATGCAGAGAAAGCCAGTGATGTCTAATACCTATGGGTAAGAAAAATTAGCACGCATGTAAGTCAGACATTGTTTATACTTAGGATAAACAGAATGCTTTGGTCACTGGTGTAAGATTGTGTATGTTACTGTTTCTTATTCAACTTCCAAGGCACAGCCCAAGCTCTATACCTCCTCCAAGGAGGCTTCTCAGACCACATTACTATGTCTGCCTCAACTGTGGTGACTCTTAAATGCGTACTGTGCTGTCTTGGGTTCATGCTGATTGTTGCTTCTGTGGGGGTCTGATCTGCCAGACGGGACATAAAGCTTCTTGAGGGCAGAGAACATATCTTAAAATTTTCTGTGTTGCCCTGTGGTACCTAATGCTCTGCTGGGTCCCTAGGAGGTACCTGAATAAGAGGTTGTGATTGGCCAGTGCAGAAAGTATAAACAAAGCCTCGATCCCCGCTGTAAGATTAAAAATAATAAAATGTGAACGCAAAGGTATCATGGACCCTAAAATCTTTGTTGACGATGGAATAACTTACAATAGAGAGTAAGAGAAACCATAAATGTTGCGCCTGCTCCTTGGCCTGACATGACTTGCTGTCATGTCATCCCTTATATGGGATGAGGATGCTGGACAGTGACCTCCGGCATCCTCCAGATGGACGATCACGTCCATCTCTTAGAGTTCATTTATTCTCCAACTGTCTTTTCCAGTGGATGCTACCTAGCACTTGGCCTTTGGGTGTGACATCACAGCCAATCTGATTATTTTATTTCTTTGATTTCTCATTTTATGTGGATGTGGAATACACTTTGTATTGATTTCTCATTTCATATAGACGTGCAACAGTTTTGCTCTACTCTGAGTATCAGACTGTTGTCAAGGTGTTGAAGACGTACCCCCAGCTCCGGCCCACTCCTGTCGGGGATGATGTCGTGGATGTTCTTGTAGTAGCCCAGGCACAGGGTGGTGCAGCGCACGAGTGCGCCCATGTATAGGGAAAGGATCGGGATGAGCAGCGGCTCCCGGCACTCCAGGTGACTGTGAAGCAAAATGGCTACAAAAACAACCTGAGAGATGGGGAGACAGCAACCAGTCAGAGGGAGGCGAGGGTACCGACCGCCAGACGGACGTGCGGCCCGCCCTCTGGAACCCAGATGAGACAGGTCTTTGATGCAGAGAGGACTGAAACTCGGGCGATGACTCAGTGTGGCTCCCATGCAATTCAGGTGTGGATGATGGGGACTCAATGGAGGAACACACTGATCATTTTGTTATATCCGCCACAAAGATTCTTTGAAGGCAACTGCATGTCCAATTAAAGTTATTGCTTAAAAAAAAATCTAGAAACTTTGGCCTCCCACCCCAAATGTAGTCGAGCTTTGCCCTCTCGAGGTTGGATACTGAGGTGCACAAGTCCCACACCTGAGCACTTAAGCACCTTCCACAAAGGAAAAACAGTAGCGATCATTGACCGTATACAGGAAAACAGACATTAACATTTGTAGGATGGGAGTTACTAAAAATGCTGCAAAAAACACCAACAGTAATTATTATAAAACAAGCTACATTAAAATTTAAAATATAAACTTATAAAAATGGAATCAGTTGAAATAACCAGGGTCAGGAGAGATTGACGTTCTAACAAAGTGTCCATCTTTATTCAATGGTACCGTCTCTAAAGCACATTTAACAACGTTATTAACCTCCTGGGTTAATCAGAGACTCAACCCAGCCTCTGTCCAGAGTCCTCCTGGGACACACTCATTCAGAAGACCCCGGTAGCATACGGGGTGCAAAAGTAGGGTGATTTGTGGGGGAGGTGTATTTCTGAGCTACATCAACCTCAACAGCCAAGTACTCGTGGGAAAATAGGCATATTAAAATATAATGCCACTGAGTGATCCTGACCAAAGGATTGTTCTGATCACTGCATTATCAAGAAATCAGTGATGATGGAAAATTACCCAACAAGCTGGAGAATGAGCCCGATTTATTGTATCGGCACACCCCGCTGCCACGGGGACCCAGAAGAGCAGGCAATGGAGAGAAATCTTCTGAATGCAATAAAGGGATTAGGTGCTAGAGGTGGTTTCTTTATAGCATAGACCCACATGTGTGCCCCAGCTGTCATTCTGAAACCCTACGAATGAGACCCACCCTGTCACTGAATCGCCAGGGGAGCACAGAGGACAGAGGTGCTGCTTGGACACAACCAGGCTGCCAGGAGCACAGGCAACGCCCGTGAGCAGACCCGAGTTGGGGCGGCACTCACGTTCACACTCACGCCCACACTCATGCTCACTCTCATGCTCGCGCTCGTTCTCACGCTCATGCTCACACTCACACTCGCCAAGGATACAGTGGGGTTCAGTGATGGAAATAAGGATGTCCATGACTTTCTCCACACATTCTGCTTCCAAGTGGGCCAACTATAACGTATTAATGGCAAGATGCAAAGGGACACATTTAACTTGTACAAAACCTACAACGTAAACTGAGATGATGTTTAGAGGCTCAAAACTAGTTGTGTGGAAAATGAATGCTGTACAGAAAGATGAGTACTGGACGCAGTCTCTGCCAAGTCCAGGAAGGCTCCGCAAGACAGGAGCCTGAGCAGCAGGAGCAAAGCAGGGGTCTGGACAAGAAGGAAAAGGGAGACACGGGCACGAGGGGACTGAACGTGGAGATGACAAGAAGATGTGGACAGGTCCAGCCAGGAGAGCTCCCAAGGCCCAAGTGAAGACGATGTCAGCCTCCCCTGCATCTCGCAGACCCACACCAGGTGCTGCGGCACTTACCTCTGATCTGACATCCCCATGGGGGACTGTACTGTTTATCAACTTAAAATAACAACACTTGTACCTTTTGCATTTCAATCCAGAATTAAGATTCTGAATTTGAGACAGCCATCAAATATAGGTCAGATTATTTCCTGAGGGAACCGACTGTCTCAGTGGCGAGGCACGTGTGCTGGCCCCGGACCAGGTGCTGGGATTCAGTGATGAACAAGACAGTCCCAGACTCTGTTCTGCAGGGGCTGACAGTCCAGCGAAGAGGCAGGAACGTTAATCAGAGGATGACGCTGCTGAGCATCCACTGCAAAATGCCATGGAGAGCCGTGGGGAGGACGGGCGTGCGCTGCGAGGGGGAGTGCTCTGTGGAGCGCTGTGCATTTCCTCCCGGGCAGAGGGGGCTGCGCCTGCAAAGATCCCCATCGGGGGTGGGTCTGCCACACTGAGGCCCTGAAAGGAGGGCCTGTGGCTGGTGTGCAAAGAGCAGAGGATGAGAGGACGGTGCCCAGGAGAGGCACAGGGCCCTTGGGTCTTTAGCACCTGGGATTCATGATCAGGATTTCGGCCTTTTATCAAAAACACTAGAGAGTTATTTTTAAAGCAGCTTTAAGCAGGGGGGAGGTGGCCAGAATTTCACTGGGAAAAGATCACCCTGACTGCAGTGGGGCTGGGGGGGAGGCAGGGCAGAGGGGCAGGGTGAGTGAGGTGGCTTCCCTAGCAGTGCAGGTGGGAGGGCTGGGCAGGAGGGCTGGGCAGAGTGGGAAAACTACAGAAATACGTAGGATTAAAATCTGAAAGGCTTGGGGATAGAGGGAGACTCTTCTTGTGTGGTTCCTGGCTTTCTGACCAGGTGGTAGAGCCATTGGTGAGCTCAAAAATGAAATGCTTGACACAGAGGGTTATTCGGTCAGGCTTCAGGTGCCTTTGAAGGACCTAGTGGAAACATCACGGGGACATTTGGGGAGCCTTGTCTGGGGCCCACAGGAGAGGGCTGGGCTACAGGTATTTATGTGGGGATTATGAATCGTGTCACACACAGGATAAACCAAGGGCGAGTTAGATTCTTCAGGTACACAACATAGAGTGAGGAGAGGGAAGGGCTTTGGGGAACTTCTACGTGTACAAGTCAGCAGAGGAGAGCGATGCTTCATGGCCAGGAGAAAAACCAGGACTGCAGTGGGGTGAGGGCTGGTGGGAAGGAGTAGTCCACAGAGTGAAGGGAACTAAAATTGCTCACTGGGGTTATTGGCGTGAAGGTCACTAGTAAGAACCATCTGGGTGGAAGTCAGCCTCGAGTAGGGAACAGAGTAAAAGGGAAGTGAAAAAATTGAGACAGTGAGCAGAAACCACCCTTCCAAACAGTTTGGTTATGACGCAAGGAAGAGGGGGAGAGAGAATTGTAGGGAAAGAGGTTCGCGGGATCCAGAGAAAGCTTGTTGTTAACAGGGCAGATATCTGAGCTTGATTTCATGCCAAGAGAAATCAGGGGAGAGAGAAGGAATCATTGATAAGTGATCAGTGGGTTCCTGAGAAGGCGGGACAGGAAGTGGCCCGCAGGAGGAACGCCTGCTCTCCTAGGATGAAGGGAAAATGGAGGTGACCCAAGAGTTTGAAGGTTTGCTGGCTGGAAGTTGAAGAATGTGGCTGTGTGAGGTGGGGAGAGATGCTCTGAAATAGTCCCTGCAGAGTCAGCAGAGCTGAGGGATAAGATTATGCATTTTTAGCTTGGTCAATTTGTCCCACTGTGTGACTTTTTGCAGAAGCATTTGCTCCTGGGCGCAGGTGGAGGAGGATGCACGACATGGGGTTGGTTCAGGATTGAGATTTTGTTGGAAGGCTGAAATGAAAAGGCAGGAGATAGGGAATTTACAGATTATGATCTCATCATCCTTGGGATGTCAACTGACCACAAAAGGCAAAGGGCTGATGGCAGCAGAGAGGTCAGAGGATGAGAGAACCCAGGGAGGGTAAACAACCTCAAGAGAATTCTCACTTGGATATTGAGCAGACTAAGAAAGTCTAGATGGCCATGAAATAAAACAAAAACAGCAGTATTTCTTCCCAAATCCCTTGGCAATATGAATGACCAGAACATATAACTACTACAATAATGGCGGCACAGAAAAGCATTTCACGTTTGAGCCAAACCAAGAGCTTTTTTGTCCTATAGTGTGAAATGTGTGAACTCAATTTAGCTTAGTAAAATTAAAAAAAAGAGAGAGCTGCCGTTGAAATTCAAGGCATTCTAAGTGATTTCCATTTTATCATTGTTGATTACTTGTTATTTATGCCAAGGAGGCATTTCAAGGCACTTTGCATAGGATCTATTTACTCATTACACAACTAGGTAACTACCAAATGCTTTCAGGTAATGAGAGGAAACTTGGGGGTAAAAGACTTAAGAACAAAAAGAGAACTTAATTCCTCCAAACAAATTGTGGTAGGAACTCAAACAATAAGGTTTAAAATAACTGTTCTGCCAGGAACAGCCTGAGGCCAGATGGCACCTGAGCTCAGCTTCCATGCTCCTACAAACCAGATTGTTTATTCTGCACTCGCCAGCCCTCCCTCAACAGGCAACGACCAGGGTCAGGTTTGAAACTGAGAAGGAAAATGTCTGTAGGTGTATTGGCAAAGTATTTTCAGATATATGCATTTTTCCCCTCTGTCCTTGGATGCCTGCTATACTTATTTTAGGCAAAGTTAAGGGTTTTCTTTCTGTTTTCTTTTTCTTGCCTTTAAAAAAACACACATCTAAAATGTGTGCTCACAAATGCTCACTGAATTGCTGATGCCAACGTTTGAAACCAAAGGTACTTCCTTAACTTAAAATTAAGTGATTAAGGTGAATAAGGCAGTTTAAATTCTTCTCTCAGAGGATGCTGAAAGTAAGACTGGGACAAAATTCTCTAATAACTCTGCAAGAAAATTAACAAAAATATATCAAAGAATGATGTTAGCTAGTACTCAGGACACGCATACACACACACATGCACAGCGTTGGCAGAAATTAATTTAAATTACTTTTAATAGTGATCCATGGTGTAAATGTGATTAATTTGGAAATTTAATTCTTGGTCTTTCGGGAGATACTAACAGTTCAGCAGTAGATTATTCCAAAATGGTGGCTAAAAGATCAAGGTGTACAATAGGGGTAAAATGCACGGCAGTGTTTGCAGAACAGAACTGAGAATTTGGGAGGGAGCTTAAAGATCATAATCTAACCTCCTCTTCTGTGATGAAATCATTCTTCCAAGTCCCTGATTATAGGAACTTAGTTTCATTTATAAATTTTAGGAATTAAATCTAATTTTCCACTAAAATTTTTTGTGTGGTATCCTTGGTGGAGGAAGGAAGGAAGGACAGAGAGCCGGGGCTGCACCCCAGGCCTCAGAGAATTGGACCCAGCAGAGAGTGGATGCAGGTTGTCTTCTCAAACTGCGTGAAAACATAACCGAACCAACTTCCGGGTCTTTTTGAATGTGGACAGATGACCTGTGAATAGCAGCCCTTCACGGCAGCAACGTAAGAAAGAAGGTTTTAGGAATAATTCCCAAGAGTGCTTGCTCGAGAGCAGAGTGACAGATTGCATGTCGCCAGGCCACGCAGAGGGCACTCAGCCAAGTGCACGGCAACCCTATAACCACCCAGAAAAGGACTGGGTGTGACTTTATATAGTCATTTCACATGCACACTCTTTAAAAATAAAGGTCAACACCTCAACACTAAATTTGAATTCACACAACCCTTATTCTAGTAAGAGTATGCGTACTTTTATTACAGGGAGTCTCCTTTTTTCATTCATTTAACAAACATTTATTGGCATCTACACTGATGTCGTAGCGCTGCCGAAACCAGGTGAATGCAGAGTGCACTGCCCAGTGAATGAACACAAAACATGCATCAGTTACACACACCAGAGCTCTGAGTAGGTCTGATTGACACACAGACCGTATTTACCTGAGCTATGACATCTGAGATTGAGGCACATCCCACCAGGAAACTGTACTTGTGTTTTAAGAGAATGCCAGCATGCGTCCATGCCTGCCAGAAAGAAAAGAATTTGGCATGAGATACACTTTTAGGATTATATTGTTTCTGGTTGTTGTGCTATACTAGGCATTCCTGAAATACACTTTATACCCCCCAAAAACCTTAGCACAGTAGAGGTTTGATAAGTCTCTGGTTGGTAAATTACTGTCATTTGGTCTGGTGGCTGGTTTTTCCACATTAGGTTTATAAGTAGAATGGTGCACATATTTATTTAGTACCAGCCGTATGCAGGCTAGCGTACTGTTAGGTTCGTACGCCTGGCAGGAAGCTGAATGAGTACCAAGAATGCAGAAAGCACGACCCCTCTTGGAGCCGTCTTAATCACAAAGCAGCTGCATCCTCCCCATATGAAGCATGTTATAATGAGGGCTCCAATTTGGTTCTGAGTTATCATTAATACAGTCATCACAGGTTCCCACCGACTAATTAGGGTTCTACTGCTTTCTTGTCTTTGACTTTGGGCTGGATAGGATCTGACACTTTGTGTCTTTGAGGGAAATTAAGAGGAAGGTCCTAGGAGAGGAGCAGGCAATGAAGACCGCAACCCCTGCCCCGGGACAGCAGGTTTGGGGGAGATTTCAAGTTCATGGTCGGATCTGTTTAAGGATCATCCTCATTAAGGCCGATTTGGAGGGACAGAAATAACACTGCACCGAGCTGCATGCAATCAGACCAGTAGACTCTACTCCCTGGGTCTGTGTCTGGACTTTGCGCAGCAGCGGCTACTTCCCTCCCCAGCTCCTAGGTCCCCTGGTGCCAAATGTTAGAAGAAATGCAAACTGTAGATAGCATGTGCAAATAGTAGCTTGCAGGCTCTTTGTTGTCCAAAAGCCATCTGGATGATAAACTTCATGGCTTTCAAATATTCTCTTTGCCACCGATACATCAGGGCCCTGCTGCCAGGGGTGCGTGGGTCAGGGGAGAAGATAACCTGCTCTTTATAAATGTTCGGTATTTGGGTTTTTATTAGAAGTCTCTGACTGTTTTATTAGGGTCTTTGGGGGAGTTTATGGGAGAAACATGGAAGAGAAGGGTACCATTCACAAATGTTCTGGTGTTACACTGAGTTGCAGAAACTCTCATGGCAAATAAATACAGCCAAAGGGAAGTGCACTACTGGGTGCTTAAGAGTCTGCGATTCACTGTTATTAACAGTCCCAGGTTTCTGGAATTCTCTGTACAGTTGTAATTCTTCTACGTGTTTAGATTCCCACTACGAACATAGATGGAGGACAGATATTAGAGCAATATCGTGGACTCTGTCCAGGAAGTCAGGCCTCAGCCCATTCGGGAAGTGAGAAAGGTCACTGCGTGCAGTTCTCCAGCGGATTGAAAAGTACTGCGCTCCCACGACAGGCGAGCTCGCGCCGTGGGGAAGCCGGTGCTAGGGACTACAGCCCCTTTGCCTTCTTCTTCTTCCTGAGTCAGCTGTGTCACTCCAGAGTGTACACAGGCAGCAACAGGGAACAAAAAGAAAATCCAGGTCCCAGTGTTCAGATGGCCCAGTCCTCCCACCTAAAGTGACACCACAGCAATTAACCAGGACTTTCATTCACAACTCAGAGTTTAATATCGAAGGCTGCCATGCAAACCGGGAGAAGGCTATCAGGGATTCAGTGACAACATGCCAATAATCTATGGGAAGACTGAGACTTCAGATAACACTGGAGACGGTGAACCCCACGTACCTTTACCTTCCCTCGTTCCTGCCAGGATCTGGGGCTGCCGCCTCACCTCAACACAGACATCCACGTACCTCACACGTCTCATGTACACAGAACCGGGGGTGGGGGAGGTAAAAAACCACACAGACTAACCCATTCTCATTACCTCCGAAGGGTAACTCAAAATGGAGCCCAAAGAAAGGGTTCACTTTCCAGCCTTGGACATTATTGGAATTTTTTTTTTTTCTTGCTATGTCTCTTTTATATCTATAACACAGCTGGAAAAAAAAAAGCATTGTCTAAGAACTCTTCAGTGTCATGACAAAGAATATATGAAGTGAGCAGCCTTTAGCTAATGTAGTAATGCTGGTTATTAAAGTAATAAAACCTTGTTTTATTATTTTATATGAGAGACTCTTACTCTACAATTCTGGGTGTTTATACCACATAAGTGGTAAGTTTATGAGAAAGCTATTCTGACCCTCTGATCCAGAGTACACCAGGAAAGAACTTTATATTTGTTTTTTTTTTTTTTTTTTT